CTAACCATTCAAACACAGCTGCGCAGCATCAGGAGCAATTTGGGGTTCAGTATCTTGCTTAAGGACACTTCAAAGTGCAGTGTGTGGAGCTGCAGATTAAACCACCAACGTTCTGATTAGCAGATGACCCGCTTTGCCTCTGAGCCACAGCCACCCCATTAAACTAGTTCCAGGTCTGAGGTCTGTGGATTATCTTGACCAACCAGGACTTTGTTTCTGGCAGAAAATTGGATATTTATTAATTTCCATTAAATTAGGCAAATGTCAAAGATTATATTTCAAAACCAAAACAATCTGGTCAAACATGGTTAGACACCATGAGAGGTAAGTAAGAAAATCCTTGTTTTGCCCATGGGCCAAAGTTGGACCACCAATAGGTGCTTTTGGCTTGTGACCCACCATTAGGTTTCTGTTTTGGCCCTCCAAGGGAAAAAAGGTTGAGCGCACCTGCTTTAAACAAAAATGCAGAGTCGAAGTTCACCAGCTAATGCCAGCATGCTACAGAGGAAGCCACACCAAACCAGTAGTTAAGGACACAAGGGCAACCCACAACACCTTGTGTTCAGCAGCACATGGTGCCCTTTTGAGGGACTGCAGCAAGTGGCAGCAACCCAGTTTGCTCACCATCCATCACTGCAACACCCAAACAGCAGAGTGGAGTCAAAAATACTGCTAAGGCACAAACAAGGAAAGAAATGTCCCCAAACTGTAACTGTGGGGGCGGTAGGGTGAACAGATAAACAACTTTTCAAAGCAGGATTACGGTGCTGTACTGTATGCCGAGGCCAGGATGCGTGGGCCTTGTCTTTAAATGTGGAAACAACAAATAGCGGAGGGAAGCTAAGCCGGCGTTCACAGGAGACACGCAGTAGCTGCCCAAACAGGCTTGTTAGGGGGCAGAGAGGGAACTCATCAGTGCACAAGATCACGGCTGACAGAGAAGCTTGTTAGTTGCAGCACAGTAGCCAAGAGGGTGGCTCATTAGGGAGAAGCACCAGTAGCCTGCACGGGCCGTGCTGGTCTCACCAGATGGCTGTGTGTCTGCTGGCTGATGAAGGATATGGACATCCATCATTAACAAATTACGTGCAGTGTGTTTTTCGTGCAGGAAATCATATAGAAAGCGTTCATTCCAGTCATGTTTTGACTATGTCACAATTTGATGTTTGAAACTTTATAGACTGCCATTCATTTGGGTAAAGGGGCTCCATTTTCGTTTCATCCTGAGGTGTAACAAAGTTTGTCTATGACACTGTGATATGAATCCTTTCACAACATTGCCCCCTACTGGTGCTAATAACTAAAAATCTAGATTTATGGAGGCAAGATGCAATCAAAACATGAATTTTCCAATCACTCGCCCCTCAATGGACCCTTCACATGTAGTCAGCCGTCACCATAAATAACAAATTGTTTGCAATCATCCTGTCTGGCTAAGTACAGTGCTCTTCAGCTTGATTATCGCACAAGACAAGTTTCCAGTAAGGACCAATAAATCATTATTCATCATTCACTCAGGGAGAAATACAAGCTGTTGCAGCAATATCTCAATCATGAGTAGGACTCATTCATTTAGATATTCTTTTCAGGGATGCTTCAACCAAATAGCAGATGATTTATTTGCTATCCAATCTCACACATATCGCAAAAATTAAAAGTATTGTTGCATGGCATTACTTTGAGCACTGACTGAATAGGAATTTATCCACAGCTGATGTGATTGGAAGATGCTAGAACTTTAATTAAAAATCTGTCAATTTTGAACTGAAGAAAAGCCCGGCCGGCAGTATGAGAAAAGAAAGGATGCAATCAAGCCAGGGTGATATGGAAAGAATATTTTAAAGAATTTTTCTTGAAAAGTGTTTTAATTACTGGTGCAACAGAGTAGCCATAAGGAGTACATCAAACTCATTAACTTTTCCTTAAGGGTCATTTCACCAAGAAAGATTTGTTACATATCTTACACTGTTCGTATCAAAATTGTGAAAGTTGCACTGTGTCATTTGGCTTCTGGTTTAAGGGGGGAAAAAACCTTTTGGTCAGCAATTCTGAAGTGTTCCTCCAGTGTTGTCACTTTCTGTTAATTAAATCTTACAGCAACGAATTAGAATAAATTATAGAAGTTAGTACAATATTGTTGGAGATCATAAATTGTTCTGTGCGTCTTCAGAAATTAACATTTTAAAGCAATAATTTAAGTCCTGCAATCAAAATCCAACTTAAAGGGACACTTCACTTATTTTACACATGAAGTTCAGTTTATTCGTCATGTGATGCACTATACAAACAGCCCAGACAATTGTGCGATGTCTTCTGGGGTTCTGGAGGAGGCTTTACAAAGTCTGACGTTGCAATATGGGAGATGTAGATCCAGTGTTTTTGGAGTAAGTAACTTATATATGGGACTAAAAGTCCGGGTCTCAACCACAATTTTGATTGTTCTTTCTAAATTATCCATTTCTTTCAAGCACCCCAACGTTATGGAAGTGCAATACTTTACTGGAGAACCTTTTTAAGTGAAAGTACAGAAGTATTATCAGCAGAATGTACCTTAAACCTGCTACAAGGAGTTTTAACAAGACCATCAGCAAGAAGATTGGCCATTTCTGTATGGATATTCTCTGCCACCGGGTTGAATTCAGTTGGATTCCCCTTGACACATCATCACTTGTCTACAGGGGTTGTCAGAATCAACAAAATTTAAGTTCCTTGTACTAATTGAGCAGACAAATCATATGTAAAATCTGTTAAAAGTACATTATTTTCTTCTGAATTGCGGTGGAACACAAGTATAAAGTGACATAAAATGGAAATATTCACAAAATTACTTTAAAATTATAGTAAAGTACAGTTCTTTCACCAATACTTGTATCCAAACTATGGGGTAAAAAGAGTCAAAGTGCCCTTTTAAATCAATTAAAAACATCAGTACATGCTGTGAAAAACAAAAACAGCACAAGCAAAAGATACATGTACAAATGGCTTCATTTAATTTATGTATTTCACAAACAATCCAATAACTTATGAGACAAATGTACAGGAATTATTTTGCCATTTTATTTTTTTTTCTTCACATTATTGCTTTACAGTAAAATGCATTGGTTGGATATGTCCAGTATAGCAAGACAATACATTCATATAAGTTATACAGATGTCCTCAGTAATGTTTTATAGTAACTAACTTTACATTAAATATATTTTTTAGTCATTTATTATTCTTGACAAACAACTCCCACGTCACATTGAGCTCACAGTGCATCAGGTCGCATTCGATCAAGAAATACATACCGGTCTTCTCGTGTTCAATTGCCATTTCTAACGCGTGTTTTCTAAAGTGTGTGCGCTTAATTTGTACACAGGATCTTAATACAATCCGAATTTATGCAGAGCTACGACAAGTATGGCAACTGAATTCTACTTTTTTTTTTCCTCCTCTTCCAAAAAAAGTGACTTTGTAACAAAGATGCGAGTCAGACAACCGGTGAGAATGTACGCTGTGTGTCAAGATGAGGACAAAAAGAGGAGCAGTGTTTGTTTTTCTTCCCCCTGCTGTGGTGTTACCACTCAAACCTGGCAACCGGGACATGACCACACAGAGCAACAACAAAAATATACACCAAAAGAAAAAAACCTTAACACTGCACATTCTGAATCAACTCAAGTACAATACAGACGTGCTTTCCCCACAAAAAGCATTAAAAGATTAGGTCCTGTATCTACAGAAGACCCACTGACAAAAGGTTAAGGGGGAGGAAGGGGAGGTGTACGAGGATGACAGTGGGTGTGTCGTGGAGTCTGTAGGCCCTGTGTGGTCACCTCCGTCCAGTAAACACAGCTGTGTGAACCCCAATAGAGTAGCAGCTTAAGGGGGTCCAGCTTTTTTTCTTTTTTTTAATTCCTTAAAGTCTGCTCTCATCCAGATACTTTGAAAAGTGACAATGTCCCGAGGGCGGTGGAGGAAAACCATCCATCCATCCATGCATTCCCTGCTGCCCCTCTGCTCCTTCAGCTAGGGTTGGTGGAGTTAATGCCCTTGTGCAAGAGGGGACAAGAGTGGAAAGAGAAGAGAGGAAAAAGGGAGTGTATG